CCTGAACTGTTTGCCTTTTGAAAAGCTTCCCACCTTTTCTTGTCTCTGGAAAGGGGGTTAGGGAGGGGAAATTGCAGTAAATTTCGGTTTCCTAGGAATTACCTAACTCATGGGAATTCAGCCTTAAACCCCCTCCTGATTACCACATCACTGCTACATCAGCATTAGGTTTGCTACATGTATGTTTGGATTGGCTATACCCTGTTTCCTTGTTCTTTGTCTTTGAATTTTCTCGCCTTGAATGTAGTAAGCCCACCTCCCAGCTAATGGGATAGGAAGATTTTTAGAGTCCTTTTTGTCCTTGGGGCTGGGGAGAAGTTTCTGCACTTAGACTGTGAGCTCTGAAGCCCAGCCAATGGGAAGAAGAGCCAGTGGGGGGGGGGGGGGAGGATTGCGATTAGGATCTATATAATCTGCTGAGCTGAACACACTCTCTCTCTCTTTGGTCGGTGCCATCTTATGGGTGCTCTGAGGGAGCCTTTCTCAAGAAAGCCAATAAACGAACTATTCTTTTTGCTAATATCTCTGAGTCTCCTATTTATTGGTAAGGGTCTTCATACCCCACACACCTCTAAAGTCCTTTCCTAATCTAAAGGCAGAGTCTCTTGAAAGAAATTATTTTTCTGTTATATTAATAACGAATTATTAAATTATGATACAGGATTTTCTCCTCTGTTTCTTTATTGAGGCCCATCTCATTTGGAGGGTCGGCCTCTAAAGAACATGGCTGATTGAGATTCCTTCTAACCCTTGGGAAACATACTCCTCCATCTTGGGCCAGACACCACCTAATTAGGAGGCCTTCCTTCTGTTTAGAGCATAAACAGAATCCAGTCTGCGTGAGTTCTTGCCCAAAGTAGAACAGCCCCTACCTTGTACTCCTTGATTAGGGTGACCCAGCTCAAGAAGGAGAAAATCAACCAGAGTGGTATGGATGGAGATGGATTCCTCTTTCCAGATTCCTGGAGGCAGCTGAGTCTCGTGACCAAGCAACGTTCTCAGCTGGAGGAGTGGAAGAATTCTAGCCTACTACCTCATTAAATGTCCGCCAGTCAGGGTTGATTTTCACTTGTCAAGGGCATTCCCTTTCAAAAAGTATTTGAGGCTTTCAGAATCTCCATGTTTTTGTTTTTGGTTATTGAAAGAAACCACTGACCATCAATTTATTATTAACTAGCCTAATTAATTAATTGATTATTAATTACCCAGAAACTCTGTCTCTTGGATTTTTTCCTTTGTAACACTCTGCTTTAGAGATGAGGAAACAATGAGAAGCAAATTTGTTAAGTATTTCTTAGCTAGTAAGATGGAACTTGAACCCAAATCTCCTGATTCCTGGTTTCAATACTCCACTATTTCAATAATTCAGCCCATTATCCTCCCCCTTAAATAGAATGAAATATTAGGTATTACTTAGTTATGGTCTTGCTTATGTGCCTTGTAGGTTTCTTTTTTTGTTTTGTTTCAAATTAACATAACACTTAAAGATACAATGTTATAGAAAAGACTGGTTTCAGACAGGTTGCATTGAAAGACTAAATCCACAAGTCCTAGGGTGACTCATTCACACATCAAAGCACAGTCTTCAACAAAGGATTTGAATACTTGAAGGGTAATGGTTATCCTCAGTTGTTGCAGTGTTTTTTTTTTAATAATCAGTCCTCAGTTTCTGCCAACAATTGGCTTTTAAGAGAGATATTTTGGAGTGAATTATTCTATCTTCTCCCCAACTCTAGCCTAAGAAATACTGTGAAGATAACTTTTGGTTATCTGCTATGCATTTAGCCCAGACAAAAACCGAAAACCTAGGGAGAAAAAAAAGCCTTCTCTTGATGTGTGCATTATATTTAAATGTGGGCATCCCCTGAAAAGATTCTGAAACATCTGAAAAAACACTGTCTTTGCAGGCTGTTAGGGAGACTGATAGCGTAAAAGCAGACATTTAGCATGGAATCTTTGGGAGTATATGTCATTAGCTAAAAGAAGGGCTGTGTTTTCTGCTTCGATTTTAGTTGTTGAATCATTGAGACACAAGAAAGTACACTTTGTAGCCAATGTCAGGGTCATCCACTTATGAGGGGAAAAGTCTGAAAAATAACATTTAAGACCCTCATTAGGGGCAGTGGTCACGCAAGGATTTTTCTCAACCTCCACTTAAAATTTAGTGTCTGTTCCCCTTCCCCCCAGTTTTTTTGGAGTTAGTCTCTCTGTGTTTGATGTTTAGCCCTGCCCTGGGGTCCAAACAACTAGCAATTAATCTCTACACTTATATATGGTGGTAGAGTAGAAAAAGCAATGAATTTGGAGTCAGAGGCCCTGAGTTCAAATAGAGGTCCTGCAGAACTTTGGGCAAGTCACAACTTCTCTAAGACTTAGTGTCTTCATCTGTATGAGAGGCTTGGGCTAGAAGATGATCTTTAAGGTCACTTTCAGCTTTAAATAGATGACCCTATGAAACTCTTGAGATCACACATCTAAGGCTTGGTTTTCCATTCCAGACTATTCCCCATTTAGCCATTTGTAAGTTAGAGCCAGCCTTACCCAGAATCAGAGTAGGCTGTTACTTATCTAAAGTAAGATGATGAGGGTCTCCCAAAAGCCAAATTGTACCCCCCCCATCAATTGGGTACAAAATCTGTCACCATTAGTGCTATGTATTTTATTAAAATTTAAGACAGATATTTTATTATGTTACAAAGGAAGGGGAAAAAGCATTTAGTAAGTGCCTACTATATGCCAGGTACTGTACTAAAGCAACATAATTTCATTTGATCTTCACAACATTTCTGGAGGTGGGTGCTATTATTATCCACATTTTACATGCAAAGAAACTGAGGCAAATAGAGATTAGGAGACTTGTCCAGGGTCCCACAACTAGTAAGTATCTAAGGCCAGATTTGAACTCTAAGCACAACACTCTATTTAGTATGCTGTCAACCATTCACAGAATTTGTTCTAAGAAAAGACAAACGAAATTAGGTTGTGTCTATGTTTTTAATTTCTCTTAAGTTGCCAACATGCATTTCATGGACCCCTCTAAAGGAGCCAGTCAAGAATTGGCTCGATTTGGGGGTTGGGGGAATGGAGTTATATGCCCTTCAAAGAGCAGGTATTCCCAAGGGGTGCCAATCAACTCTGGTCAACATACTGGGAGGTGGGCTATGTTAAAATGACGGTCTTGGAGGTGACTTAGGTCTCTTAATCTTGGTCAGAGAGATGTCAATTTTCATATCACCTGTCTTAACAATAGGGAGAAATCAATATTTTCCCAGACCTGTCTGGGCAATACAATGCACAGGAATACAGTCATTAGATTAGATCTTAATGTCCTCTTGAAGAAGAAACTGAACTTTAAGAAAGGGGGATGGGAGAAGCTCTGAGTCTCCAAAATAATGATTACTAAGAAAAATCATTTTTCACACTACCTAGCTGTCTAAGGAAGGGTAATGTTAGCAGAGATGTTTATTGGATTATCTATAGCTGGGGTAATGTGAAGGACAGGAGATGGAATAGTGGTAAAGCAAAGTCCAGAGTGAGAATGATACCTGGTTTGGGTGTGTTGCCACATTAAGGGATACTTGGTAATCAAGGGATAATATGGAGATGCTGGAGGCAATGAAAGGAGAATCCCAAAGAAAGATACTGGATCCCTAGGGGCATAAACACATTACTTTTTTTGGAGGTGCCCAGCATCCAGCTGAAGGTTATTTACTGCTGTTTCCCATGTGAAAAATGATTTTTCTTAGTAATCATTATCTTGGAGACTCAGAGCTTCCCCCATCCCCCTTTATCTAATCTAATGGCTCTACTCCTGCTCATTATGTTGCCCAGACAGGTCTGGGAAAATGTTGATTTCTCCCTATTGTCAAGACAGGTGATATGGAAATTGATGTCTCTTTGACAGGACTGAGTGACCTAAGTCACATATTCAAGACCCTCATTTTAATATAGCCCACCCCAAAAATGTATTGACCAATCAGAGTTGATTGGCACCCCTTGGGAAAACCTACTCTTCAAAGGGCATATGACTGTACCCCCAACCCCCAAATAGAGGCAGTTCTGGACTGGCCCCCTTAGGGAGGACCATTTTTGGACTGTAACTCCCATGCAATGCATGTTGCCAGCTTGAGACAAATAAAACATGGATACACAACCTAATTAATTTGTCTCTTTCTTAGAACAAAATCTGATGAGGTTGACACCCAATTACCTTTATTTATATGAGACCCATAGCTCATGAGAGGCAGTGTGGCATAGTAGATAAAGAATAGTTCATGAGAGGTAGTGTGGCATAGTAGATAAAGAATCATTCTCAGATCAAGGAATACCTAGATTGAAGTCTCACTTCTGACTGGCTGTGTGACCTTAGACAAGTCACAACCTCTCTCTGCTCTAGGCAACTTTAAGACTATATACTGCAGAGAAGCACAGGTAGAGAGGGTTCCTTCAATTCTTTTATTAATAATGTCATGGGTCCGGTCCTTACCCCATAGCTAATAAAGAGCGCATTAGAACAAAATTCTTGCACATGTACTCCTAAGGACAGATTTTTGCATCTCGTTTTCAGCACAGCCCTAAGGACTGATCAATCAATCAATCAATCAATCAATCAATAAACATTTATTAAGTGCCTACTATGCACCAGGCACTGAGCTAAGCACTGGGGATGCAAAAAGAGACAAAAGACAGTCCCTGCACTCAAGGAGTTCACAATCTAATGGGAGAGACAACATGCAAATCAATATATACAAAGCAAAGTACATATAAGATAAAAAGGAAATAATTAAAAGAGGGAAAACACTGGAATTAAGAAGAGTTAGGGAAGACTTTCTGCAGAAGATGGGATTTTAGTTGGGACTTGAAGGAAACAGGGAGGTCAGTAGTCAGAGCAAAGGAGGGAGAGCATTCCAGGCTGGGGGACTGTTATCAAAAGATAGAGTTAGTCTTATGATATTTTATGTTTAATATATTGGGTTAATTTTTGTTTTGTTTTGTTTTAGACTTGTCATTTTATCCCTGTGGGTAACATCAGGTAAGGAAATTCCCTCGGTCACTGCATATCAGCAACTGCTCTGTAATTTATAGTCATAGAATTGCCTAGACAAAGAGAAATCTTGACTTGCTGGGCCACATCCTATCTAGACAAAGATAGGGACCAGGTCTGTGAGTTCATTGGCTTACGGAACTCCATGGATGAAGAAATCCCCTTTACCAATGCGAGTCCACACCTTCTCTGCGGAAATAGGCAGAGAAAGTTGTCCATAAGACTGAGAGGTTAAGCAAGTTTCAGAAGCAGGGCTTGAACCTAGATCTTCTAAGGTGTGAGACTGGCTCTACATGTGATACCCCCTGCTAGAGCTCCACATCCAGGTAGATGCTGAAAATCCCATATTGATAAATGCTAAGAAAGTTAGATGCTAATATCCAAAAGGTAAGCCGGAGTGGGGGTGGGGAGTCCACTCTCTCAAATCAATCAAGGGCATAGCTTCCCCAATACTGCCTACTTTGGGGAAGGCCACAATTCACTAAGCCTTGACTTGCCTCTATAAGGTTTATCATTCCCTGCCCTCTTGTGGCTAGGTCATCTCTGAAAATTATCTTGGTCTCTTGAGAAAAGTTGGCAAGGCCTTTTCTGAGCCTTTGCCCACTGGAAGGCATGGGGCAGCATAAGATCTAACCGCCGTAAAAGCATCTGCCTAGCCCAAACTCAGAAGAATAATGCTTTCACATAAATTCTGTGAGTCACTGGAATTTAACACACCAGCAGCTTTTAACTGGTTAAAGCTAACACTAAACCATAACAACTTAGGTTTATACAGGATCATGGGATTATAGATTTAGAGTTGTAAGGGACATTAGAGTATTTTGGTTTCTCACAGCCTTACCAACAATGCTGTGAGGTAGGAAGGCCACCTACTGTTCAGTCGTTTTTCAGTCATGTTCGACTCTTCGTGACCCCATTTGGGGTTTTCTTGGCAAAGATCCTGGAGTAGTTTGCCATTTCCTTCTCCAGCTCATTTTGCAGATGAAGAAACTGAGGCAAAGAGGCTTAAGAGACTTGCCCAGGGTGTCACACAGCTTGTAAGTGTCTGAGGCCAGATTTAAACTGAGGAAAATGAGTCTTCCTGGTTCTCGACCTAGTGCTCTATCCACTGCACCACCTAGCTGCCTCATACCTATCGATATCCCCCTTTTTTTAACAAGAGAAAGAACTAAGATTCAGAGAAATGAATGTGTGACTTCCCCACAAAGTAAATATTGACTCTGGGATTTGAACACAGATTTTTCTTGACTCCAGGTCCAGTGATCTATACCTTGGATAAACTAGGCACAATAAGAGCAGTTCACACTTACTTTAAGGTTTCTAAAGTGCTGTCCTCACATCAGCCTTGTGAGGTGGGCAATGTAAAATTATTATCCCTACTTTACAGATAAAAAGATTGAGGTTTAGAGAACTTAAGAGACTTAGAGTCATATAGCTAGGAAATAGAAAAGGTGGGGTCAAAATAATAGCTAGCATTTACATAATGATTATGAATATTATCTCTCTCTGTCTTCATAACATCTTACAGATGAGGAAACTGAGGCAGCCAGGTCAAGTGACTTGCTCAAGGTCACACATCAGAGGTCAGATTTGAACTCAGGTCTTCTTTACCCTAGCTCCAGTTCATCCCCTTGCTGCCTCAGAAGACTTATAGTATATTAAGTTTTCTGCATCCAAGTCCAGAGCTCTTTCCACTAAACCATGATGGACAGTAATAGTCAACAATTATTTTCTACATGCTTATTTTTGTTTTTTTTTTAAACAACTCTCCAAGGAAAAAGAATATTTTGGGAATGATTTACTTTGACTTCTGTATGGAGAAGAACCACATGGAGGAACCATGTAATCATTCAGATTTAAATACTATGGCTCTGTCAAATCCTGAACTCTCTAGGGCTTCAAAGGGGATTGCCCATATATAAAGGATTCTAGGATCATAGATCTGTGGGACCTCAGAGGTCATCTATTCTCTCGTCCTCATTTTATAAATGAAACTGGTCACAAAGTAGTAAGCTTCAGAGGTGAGAGAAGAACCTGGGTTCTCTGACTCTGGAACAGCTCTCTCTCCTCTGTTCTGTGCATATGGACTGCAGATGTGTTTGGACCCTCCAGATCCAAGTCCTTCAATGCTAGGGTCAAGTTAGGTCACTTAGGAACACAAAGAATAGTTTCCTCCCCATACTACCCTGGCCACAGCCTGCCACTACCACACCCATAGCCCTACCTAGACATTTAGTTGTGGGTGTCTAGGGAAGAGAAACATAAATATATCTCCAAACTCTAGTCTTAACATCTGGTATACCTGCCACACCCGTGACCCAACATCAGTTGACATGGCACCTAAACCCCCCCAACAAAAATTTAATATATCAATGTATTATATAAATAATATATGATCATATATTTATAACATATTATTATTAATAACATGCTTATATATTATATATAAGTAATATGTAAGATATAATCACAATATATCATATATTATATTTCTATATCAAATATATCACATATAAATAATAAATAAAATTTATAATAATTATATAATTTAGGTTTATATATAATTATAATAAGCTGGGCTTAGAAATGTTGACTTTATAACTAAGAGGATAAAGTAGACTTAAATAGCTTACAGAATGGATGAATCCTAGCACACCAAAGTCTTACCTTATGGTAGTTCTATTCTTCACTTCTCTGGGTCTCAGTTTTCCCTTCTATATTATCTTAAATCATCCCTAAGGTATCTTCCACTTCTAAATATATGACTGTAATCTATCCATGGGTGGCCAATACATGGTCTAACTTGGCCCTGTTCCCACTCACTGAACACTGAGGCCTGATCTGGCAGCATCATTACTTTTTACTCAGTCCATCTAAATGTCTGTCAACATTCTTATTCGTTCCCTTTCATTTTTCCTTTAAATGTTCATAGATAGTATATACTCTGTTCTGGATTTTTTTGGCTTCATATTATTTCCTAGAGATATTCCCCTTTTTCTTACTTCTTATTGATCTTAATTGCATTACATTATCTATTACACTGGGACCACTAGGTGGCACAATGGATAGAATGTCTGTCAGGCCTGAAGTCAGGAAGATTCATCTTCCTAAGTTCAAATCTAGCCTCAGATACTTACTAGCTTGTGACCCTGGGTAAGTTACTTAACCTTGTTTTACTTAACCCTGTATGCCTCAGTTTCATCATGTATAAAATGAGGTGGAGAAGGAAATGGCAAACCACTCCACTATCTTTGCCAGGAAAACCACAAAAATGGGTATGAAGAGTTGATGCAACTGAAATGACTGAACAACAAAAATCTATTACACTAATATATTGCAATTTACCTAACTGCCCCACTGTTTTATTGGGCATTTAGTTTGCTGCTAGGTTTTGGGTTTTTTTACAATTACAAATAGTGCTGCCATAAAATTCTTTGAACAGATGTATGTTTTCTCATTTGCTTAATGGTTCCTAAAAATAATATTTCTAGGCTATAGCCCAACAATTGAATTATTACATCCATCACTTCTTTATAGGCTTCATTAATGTCTTGCCTCAACAGATCTGGTGGACTTCAAAAATTCTCCATTACCAAAGGAGATGGCTCTGGTTCTCTTTAATATCTTGATAGGATGTGGGACCCATCTACAGAACCACATCTAACTTGCAAGGGTCCAGTGACCTCTGGCACAAGTATATATAACTTAAAGAACAAGGAAAGGCTCAGAGTAAGGTTTCTCCCTATGGAACTTGGCAAAACTGCATGCTCTTTACTCCTTCTATAGAATCAGACACAAAGTAGAAAACCTCAGAGATTTTCTAGTTCAACCCTTGCCCATACTATGAATCCCCTCTATGGTATCTCTGGTACATGGTCGTTCACCTTCAAATAGCAATATGGAACTCACATTCTCCTGATGCAGCTCACTCCATTTTTAGACAGCTCTAATTATTAGATAATCTTTCCTTATCTTAACCCTAAATTTGCCTGTCACTAAATTCTACCCATTGCTTTTAATTCTGTCTTCTGAGACCAAGCGAAACAATTCTTCTACCATGAAACAGCCCTTCAAATTCTCGAAGCCAGTATTAATTCCCCTTCTGAAGTGGAGGATTTGGGAGGAAACCTCTCACATTTACCTTCTGCAATCAGAAGGAGGAGTTCCAGAAGTAGGAGTGCGGAGGAGCTGTGAGTTTCAGAGTTGATGTGATCTTATAGGAAGGTAAGTTCTGGAGACAGTGATGAAGTCCAGGAGATCAGCCAGGTGGGAAATGAAGCATTTCAATGTCCCTCCTAAACTATAGTGTCCAGAGCTACATGTGTTACTCTGGATGTGTTTTGTTTGACATGGGGAAAGAATATACTGGGCAGATTATGGACTTCTATATTCTAAGAGTATAGTCCTTGTGTTGGACGCTATGCTTCTATTAATGCAAACTAAGATCAGATTAACCTTTTTTGTTGTTGTTGTTGGTCCCTAATTACACCTGTAATTTCTTACTTGTATATAATTAGCAATATTGTAAACCTGCTGAAATAGGATTTTTGTTGCACTGAAAAAGAGTATATTGCTGTTGATACTTTACTACAAAAGTAATTCATGCCCCAAAGGATACCCAAAACTCTGGGCTCACCAGGGTAGGGTCTAATCTCAGGAGGTGATCCCCAAGAGTCATTATTCTCTTTGCTTCATTGTCCCCACCCAGAGTTTATTTCAGGAAGATTTCCAAATATAGCATAGGTATAGCTCATATCTAGGTTTCTCCAAGTGTGAGTTAATGGGGTCTCTCTCTCCCATACACACACTCAAGGTAACAATATGGGTATGGGTAGGAGAAGATAGCTTCTATTTCATCCCAGATAAAATGCAGAGGATGCCTAGGCATAGAATCCAATAAACTTACAGGAAAAAACATAGGACAGACAAGGAGTCCAAAAACAGAACTGAACCTGGGGATACCACCAGGGCAAACATTCTAGTAAAATCTATCTTTATCTCACAAGTTCCTTCACAGCCTCCTCTCCCCCACCTCCACCAGACTCATAATTACCCTTGCCATTTGAGCTCCCACTAGAAGGCAAATACATCTCAGGGATGCTGGACCCTTCCCCCTAGACTTGCACTATCTAGAGATTTTACTGTAATAGTGGGAGAGACATGGTATAATGGGGTTGAAGGCAGGAAGACGAGTTCAAATTCAATCTCTGACACATACAACTTGTGTGACTGGGTAAGCCATTTAGCTTCTCAGCTCCTGAAGCAACTCTTTACATTTATAGAAGAAATACTAATGTGCATTGGTAAAGAGGGAGTACTCAGAAGTACTCCCTACACAGATGAAATCAGAGATCTGAACAAAGTCCTGATTGCTTCTCTGCTCCCTCCACCCACAAGTTGTGGCTTTTTCCTTATAGTTCCTCTGGATGCTGGAGCCACATGGATGACCCTTTTCTTTTTCCAAGCAGGGTGCTGATCAGGAACTCTCCTCTCTTCTAGAAGGACAGTTCCCAACTCTCAAAGATAGTGTTACTCCTGAGGCAACTCAAGACTGGTACTACTTAAGAAATCTCCCTTCTCTGGCTAGAGGGCTAGATTCCAGGATAATGCTTGCTTAGAAAATTGAAATCCCTCCCTCCTCAATAGTTGTCTGGATCCAGTGACATTGGCCATGAACTCTTCTCTAGGTCTGAGCAGGCAAGCACATCTATTTACATCATATGTTTCTATAGGAACTCAAGAGTTGCCCTAGCTGCTGCCATCTCTTGGGTCAGGAAAGTATTTGTGTTTGGAAGGCTGTGAGTAAACATATGTAATTCTGATGTAATTCCCATTAAATTGTGAGCTACTTGAGAACAGGAACTGTCTTTTGCATGTCTTCATACCTCCAGAGATTAGCACAGTGGTATAATAGTTGCTTAATAAATGCTTATTAATTGAATTATTGATGTGCTGTTGTTCTAAGGCCATCATTACTGGTTGGGGACAGGGAAAAGAGTACATGGATTATATAAATGAATGAATGAAACTCCAATGGAGGATTAAACCTTGAACTCTCAATGAACCCCATTTACCCAAAGAAGGAAATAGTTAACATTTAATAGTAATACACTTTCTAAGACCATAGCCTTGAGAAGAAAACTTCAGTTTTCTTCTTGAATAATGTCGGGGAAGTCAGGGAACTTATAACAAACAGTTTCTTAGTGCATGGGCAGGAAAAAAAAATCAAAGATTAGATGATAATTTCTGACTGGGCAAACTAGAAGCTAGTAACAGAGACTCTGTGGTTGGACCTGTCTGTGTTTTTTCAGCAGAAAGCCAGAAGTTGAGACTCATTCTAAGGCTCTGCCTCTCCACAAATTCCTTGGGTTGGCCATAAGTAGACAAACGTTTGACAACTAATGCTCAAGAAGGTTGTGAGTGCTCTCTTATGCCAGCATCACTCCAGTAATCTCAGAATTCTGGGAATCTCCGGATAGGATGAAACTGTCTATAGACATCCCAGAATGACAAAATCTCAGAGTTGGAAGGGACATGAGAGGACATCTTGTTTGTTAAACTCTACTTGGACAAGAATTCACTCTATAGTATACATGACAAATGATTACTCAGCCTTTACTTAAATATTGCTAGTGAGGGGGAACCCACTAACTCATATTCCCTACTGCTCCCAAACTTGGACTCTTGTAAAGTAGAAATATGACTGCTTCGACAAGACTTGACAGGCAGGAATTGTGTTTTGTACTTTTTTGTGTCCTGCACAGTATTGAGGTATACTTGGAAAGATTCTCTCTTTTCTAATTGCAATGAAGATCAGCTAGAGGATCCCATGAGTGGTCACTGGATTTAAATCTTAGATGACCAGCAGCAAGAGTTTCCTTTGGGCTATGAATTCTACTCTCCTCCCACCCCCCACTCCATTTCTGTTTTAGTTGAAGGTCTCATAAGTTGACTGTGACACAACATGTTGACCCTCTTTTAACCTCTAACTTTTTTTTTATGGGAAATTTTGGCTTTTAGATGGAAGCTTAATTGTTGTATCTGGTCTTTGTACATACACTCCCAGTCTTTGAGTTGTTTTGGATAAAGCAAACAAACAAACAACTTGTAAACTCCTTGGGTGGTTTTGGGACAGAGGCAGAGGCCCTAGAGATAAAAAATAAAGACAAGAACATCTTGTTTGCCAATGCAGGTTTCAGTCTCAGTAGAAGGAAAACTGACTAATCCTGAATTATGAAATGGCATTTCGTAGTTCAGTTGTGTTTCAGTTATGTTCAACTCTTCATGACCCCATTTTGGGTTTTCCTGACAAAGATATTAGACTGGTTTGCCATTTCTTTCTCTAGCCCATTTTACACATGAAGAAACTGAAGCAAACAGGGTTAAGTGACTTGCCCAGAGTCACATAGCTAGTAAGTATCAGAATCTGGATTTGAACTCATGAAGATGATGAGTCTTCCTGAGTCTAAGCCCAGTGTTCTATTCAGTGCACCACCTAGAGGTGGCATTTCACCACTCTTTTAATATGTGATTTCATTGGCATAGAGAACTCCCCATGAGGAAGCTCTCTCTACCAAAGGAGATCAACACTTGTTCTGCAATTTATAGTTGACTAGGGCCCTGAGAGTTGACTTGCTCAGAGGCACACAGCTAGCCCGCAATGCACTAGAATCTCACTGCCCAACATAGATCAGTACTTCAACAGGAGGGGTGGTGGGAAAGATGATTGGTTTGACAGTACCTTAGAAGGCATGGGCTTCTTGAAGGTGATTTCAGCTTGAAGCCAAACTCCCCGTGGAGACTCCAAAACCGACCAGATTTTCTCTTGGACCACATGGTTCTCTTCGAAGATATAGACAGCTAAGGTGTCACTCATTTTAAAAAATCCATATATGGCATAATAAAAATGTAGACAATACTGAAAGTTTCCTGGTAAGGAGGGTCCATAGAGGCGTCCAATATAGCCTGGCTGTGATGTAAACTTTGTGTTCGCCAACAAGTAATAACCTGAAAAATAGCAGAGGTTAGTTATTGCTTAAATCATGTAGATCTGGCATTAAAACATTAAACAATGAGGAAAAAAACACTTCTGTTATTCTCATAGATTTTGTTGGTTGATACAGTTTCCAAGTCTAGGGCTTTCAGTGATAGGATATGTGTTTTACAGAGCTATATTTAAAATAAGGGCAGACGGGAGGACTCCACATTGAGCTCCATAAGCCATTACTGATATGAGGCTGCTTGTGGAAAGATTCCAGTCATCATAGTAGATTAATATGGTGGGTTCCCCCCCCCCCCGATTCACAGAATAAAAAAGGCTAAATCTGTCTTGGGCAGCTTGCCCCCTTGGCTGGAAACTTGACTGATGTTCAGTGCTCTTGTTCGCTGGACAATAAAGGTGAGTTTAGGCTGTAGAGCAGATTATTTATTCCTGTCTTTGTACTGACCAGTTGGTACTGAAGAGATAAGAGTTTGAAGGGCTCTTGTGCTTGGGGCCTAAGAAGCAGGATGAGTGGCAGATTCCATAGCTAGCAATTGAATGCTACTCTTCTGTCACCTCTTATCACCCATAAATGTGTTTTAAAGTTGAGCGCCTGTCTGGGAAGTTTTAAATCAGGTGTGATCTTCTGGGCTCAGAAAGCTTCTTCTCCCATCCTCCCACTCCCCTCCTCTCCCCAAGTATGAAGGTCAAATTCTTTTGGGGCAAGTATGGAAATGATGAACAACATGAGTGGTAACTATAATATAGACCAGGAGTTCTTAACCGGACATCTGTGAATTTTTCTTTTTAAAAAAATATTTTGATAATTGTATTTCGATATAATTGGCTTCCTTTCTAATTCCATGCATTTTATTTCATGTACTTTGTTAAAAGGATTTTTACTGAGCCAATCTCTAACCTGAGAATGATGAAACAGCAGGTCAGAGACAAAGTCCCAGTAATCAGGTAGCCGTTTAATTACTTAGTTTCATTGTAAGGATCAGATTTGCAAATCAGGAATTCTCCTGATCAGAATTCCACCTTGCTGGAGTGAAGACAGAGATTATATGCATACATTACAATGGGAAGGAAGGGGGAAGGTGGATTGTGATCATTTCCAGGGCCAGCCCACAAGTCCCACAATACTAAGGTGCAACTGAAGTTCTGTGGAGATCGCATTGTTCAAGTCTTTGGGGGTCATTCCTTGGTGGGTCACAGGACCAGAGCTCTATCATGGGAACAGATTCTGTAGTCTTTGATTCGCTTCACGTAAGGTACAGGCACAAGGATGCCAGTGATTGTGAGTGTTGTCAAAGTTTGATTGATCATTTCAAGCTGCATTGTGAGCTTCTGACTCACAAGCTAGAAGAGGCAATTCTGAAAAATCTAATCTATTAGTATATTCATTACACATATCATAATGATTATTATAAAAATCATAATTCCCTTCACAACTTAAAAATAATATTTCAATAAAGAGTCCCAAAGACTTCACTTGGGTGCCAAAGGGTTCCATGACAGAAAAAGGTTAAAAACTCTTCATAGTAGAAAGAGCAAATGGAGGAAGAGTCAGGAAACTTAGGCTCAAGGCCCAATTTTGTCTACAGGCAAGGCGTGTGGCCTCTCTGTGCCTCAGTTTCCTCAGCTATAAAATGAGGATAACAATAACAGCTTAGCACCTCAAAATGCCAGAGCACCCAGCCGGAATCAGAAAGACCTGAGTTCAAATTTGGCTTCAGACACTTACTAGCTGTGTGACCCTGAGCTACTTTACCTCTGTTTGCCTCAGTTTCCTTATCTGTAAAATGGGGATGATAATAGCACCTTCTTCTCAGGTATATTCTGAGGATCGAGTAAAATACTAATTGTAAAGCTCTTGGCACAGTGCCCAGCACATAAAAAGTGCTATATAAATACTAGCTATAATAATAATAAAAATTATTATTATAGCACTTTAAAATTTTCAAAGCACTTTATACTTATTATGTTATTATACTTATTATCTTTGATCCTTACAACAACCCTTTAAGGTAGGTATTATTATTATTATATCATATTATTAACATATATATGAAAATAAAAATTATATAATACAAATACAATTATATTATATAAAGGAATTAAATATATTTTAATCATATATTATATTATATATTATATAATGTGTGCTATGTAATATATTAATATAATTTTATTAATATATAACATAATATCTTTAATCCTTACAAAAACCCTTTGAAGTAGGTGTTATTATTATCCCTACTTTACAGAAGAAGAAACTAAGAGAAGTCAGGTGACTTGCCCAGGATCACACAACTAGTCTGGAGCAGAGATTAGAACTCAGCTCTTCCTAAGTCCAGGTTCAACATTTCATGCCACTTAGCTGCCTACTTGCTTTAAAAAAAAAACACAAAACAAAAAAAAAAATATATATATACACACACACACACACACACACACACACACACACACACACACACACACATATATATATACACATATATATGTGATATTTTATTTTCCCCCCAATTACATGTTAAAACAATTTTTAACTTTTTTTCTTTCTTTTGAGCTCCAAATTCTATCTCTCCCTTCCTCCCTCTGCTCTCCCCTCCTTGAGACAATAAGCAATCTGACATAGGTTATGCATGGGCAATCATACAAGCCTATTTACTTTTACTACCTCCTTTAGCAGGGTTGTTGTAAGGAAAACCCTTTAGAAAACCTTCTGTCTTTGGTACCATCTCACCACTTAGGTCTCCAGCTTGTACCATCCTGATTCTCAAACTCTTCTTTCAATGTGTCCTTCAGTTGTTTTCATGTCTGTGTGCTATGTATAAACTGTGAGCACTTAAAAGAGTAGAGGTAATATTGTGTTTATTTATTGTCTCCTTTTTCCCATTCCCTTTCATTATAGTTTATTTCACAAAGTGGGCTCTCAGAAATGCTGACTGACCAGCTGTGGAATTCTTGCTGCTTGGGATGAGAATGGATCATTTTCTACGCTCTCAGTATACTTAAAGGTTAGCTAAGAATTCTAGCTTCTAAAAGGGCCCATCAACTACCACATCAAAATTCCTGATTCAGATCCCTGTCAGTTTCTTCATCTGTGCAGTGAAATTGCTGAACTCGATGATGACTAAAGTCCTCTTATCTCTAGTGCTGTGATCTTCACACATTATTGATCTTGAATGTAACTTCCCTACTTGAAATGAGTCTCCTAAAGTTTGATCATTCCTAGAGCAACTGCTATTAAAGTAGCTTGAGTTCCAACTTAGCCTCATGTTTGATGATTTGAAACAATCAATCACCCATTCCTTCTTCAGAGATACAGCTTGTAAAATGCTTTTTAAAAAAGCCTCAGTTGGAGGACTAAATAAAAGAGGGGACCCCATCACACCACCACACCCACAAAGCATGCTAAATTTTGAATATACCAAATCCTGTAGTGTGGTCTCCTGTTCGGTACATATTAGGTTTCACTTTTACTCTGCTCCAGCCAGGGCCATCTTTATCTTGATAGAAATTGCACAGATTTTCCTCAAAATCACAGCTTGCTTCTGAAGCATCAAAAGAGACCCCTGCAAGAAGTAAATCACTGGTTAAAGTATCACTATGCATAAATATCTGAATGGAGTGCCTAAGTCTGTCAAACCACAGGAGGCAGACCACAGTATGTGATGTAATAGGAAAGAATGCTAGATTTTGAGGTTAGAAGACCCCTTTCTTTTTTAAATTAAATTTTATTTTTTCAATTATCAAGCACTTATTTTTCTTCTTCCCATCTTTCCCAGTCCCCAACTTGAAAAAAAAGAAAAAGAAAAATCTTATAAAGTATAAGCAGAGTCAAGCAAACTATATTGGCCATGTCTGAAAATATGTCTCATTCAGCTTCTAAGTCTATCACCTCTCTATCAGAAAACTGACTGACCACTGCTTTGATCGGAGTTTTTAAGTCTTTCAAAATTGCTCATTTTTATAATATTGATAATATTGATATAAATTTTTCTCGTGGTTCTGCTTACTTTACTCTGCATCAGTCCACACATGTCTAAGTTACTCTGAAACCATCTCTACCTTCATTTCTTACATCACAACAATATTCTATTTATAAACCATAATTTGTTTAGCCATTCTCCAATTTATGAGCATCCCTTTAGTTTTCAGTTCTTTGACCCTACCAAAAGAGATAAATACTTTTTTCTACATGCAGGACTTTTTCCTCTTTCTTTGATCTCTTTGGGGTATAGAGGTTCTGTCACTATCTAGCTTTATAATCTTGAGTAAGGCATAGGAGCATAAATTTAGAGGGAAGGGAAGGGAAAACTCATTTATTAAACACCTACTTTGTGCCAGGCACTATGCTAAAAGCTTTACAAATATTATCTCATTTGTTCCTCAAAATAGCCCTGGGAGGTAGGTGGATTATTTGAGGAAATTAATCAACCAACAACATTTATTAAGCACTTACTATGTGCCAGGTATGGTGTTAAGTGCTGGGAATAGAAAAAAGAGGCAAAAGACAGTCTCTGCCCTCAAGGAGCTTACAGTTTAATGGAAACTGAAGCACACAAAGACTTGTGTAGGCTCAAACAACTGCTGTCTATGGCCAGATTGGAATTCAGGTTTTCTTGATTCCAGGCCTAGGACTCTATCCACTGCATCATGTAGCTGCTATAAGGGTACCTAAGATACTGAGTTCAATTGAGTCATTTTACTGATAAGGAAATTAAGGCATAGTGTGGTTAAGTGATTCACACAGCTGGTAAGTGTCTAAAGCATGATTTGAAAATATTTGCCCTATGGGATAAGTCTTAGAGTTACTGTGAAGTTCAAATAAGAGAATGCATTGATCTTCCCCAACTGCTAGTGTCTTCCCCTATCAAAATTACATTGTATGTATTTTGTATGACTTACATAAAACACGTATAAAAGGCAGTGGTATATAGAGAGCTAGAGAGCTGACCTTAAAGCCAGGAAGACCTAGGTTCAAGCCCTGTCCCTGCTGCATCCTGGTCATGAAATTTTGAGCCAATCACTGAGTTGGTAGGCAACTGGCTAAAAGTATAAATTGTGGGGAAGATGTCAACCTGTCACTGTGAGTTCAATGTGCCAAAGAAATCATAGATCCAGCCCTTGTCCCCCCTATATGTACACCTTCTCTCCTCTGATAGCTGGTAAGCCATTTGAGGAGTGAAGGTTGATATTTTTGTCTCATGTCCCTAGCATTTAACAAAGTACCTGGCACGTAGTAGGAACTGAATAAGTACTTGTTGATTGATTGAATGAGTGCAAATGACACATTGTCAGGTACTATACAATTGTTAGATTTTGTTTTTATTGCTTCATTTTCATCAGCTTTTTGCATCAGGGTAGACTGTGGAAATCAGATAGGCAAAAATGTTTTACACATCTGGCCTGCTGACATGTTATCATCATTTGGCATGAAGAATAAATCTGTTTTGTATTCCCTGTGGACCCCTCGTCCCTCCACATTCTTCTGTATTCCCTGGTAAATACATGAGATCCAGACTCCAAAACACAATTTCCCATCAAGATGCATCAAGACCTTCAGCATTTATTTTCACGTTCCCTCACCATTCAAAAAATACTCAAACAAAAATGTACAAAGTCTAAGCAGATATTTCACAAAGATTATTTCCTAGAGGCAGCTCTCTGAGACTCTAACTAATAGAAGAGTTTCTGACCTGAATTGGGAGAAGTCATTTCCTGTCCGTGAGTGTTATACCAATGAACTCATACATCTGGACTCTAACCCTTAAACTAGCCCTCTCCCCAAAAAATATAATTGCAAAATAGAGACAGCATAAAGTAGAGAATACATTATTGTGCTCAGAGTCAGAAGGACCAGGGTTCCGATGCTGTCTCTAACATTTACTGGCATCGTGACTGTGGGGAAGATCCTTAATCTCTCTGTGTCTTGGGTAATTTACCAGGACTTATCTACAAAGTTATAGACGGGTTATAATCTGGGCTGTAATTATAGATACAACAAGTTATAATTATAGATGGGTTATAATTTGGTTCCCTAAACCTAGTTCTCATCCTAGAAGGTCCCCCATGCTCATGAAATCACAGATAACCTTTGTGAATCTTGGTTGTGTTTTCCTGAAATGACATTCCTTTTTGGATAGTCACTATTCTCTTAATACTTACAGACAGCTATCTCTCTATGATGTTTTTGGATATCTTTAGCTTCACTCCATTGACATTAATAGTATGTGTTTATCTGTCTGAAGAAAATCATTGCTCTCTAGGGTAATGTTTTCTTCAAAAAGTCAGAATAACCGCTTTATCTGTGATTCTGCTGCTGCTGTTTAGGTTTTATGAATTCAGCGAGTTTGTCAAGGTCTAAAAACGGTATCTCAGCCTAGATTACCTTTTGAGAATAGATATGATTTCTGCTTTTTAGGTCTAATCCTGAAAACTCTATTAATAAATTATCTGAAAAGCTTCAACATTCATGGTGACCTTTTGGTCAGATTTGGCACAAGGTCCTCATGATCACATGAGACCTTCAGATCACTAAAAAGGGCTCTCTTATTATGAGGATATGCAAGGCCATGTCTAAACAATGAATGGATTCAAGGTTACTCACCCTTCTGTTACTTGGCAATGAAAACTTAGATCACAACTCAAAGCATATAGCTCAATGTCTAGTTCAGGCATTAAAAGATCATTCCCCAAAGCAACAATTTAGAAAAGTTCAAGGGCATCCCATCATTCACTCAGAACCTATACCTCCTTCCCCCACAAAAAATCAATACTGTGGTAGAATTGCATTACGTTTATCAACTGGCTAAGAGGGATTACACAGGATAAAAATAGACAGACTAGTGGCTCTGTTTATCTCCATGTAAAGAAGTGATTTCAACTTGGTAGGCATTTGAAAACATACTTTCTGAAGCTGGAATAGTATTCTTTAGTAAGTCAGAAAAATAGATTTTCATTCCTAAAGGAATATCCCTTAAAAAGAAAAAAAGAATTTGTCTGAGACATTGAAAAAAATCTCAGAAAGGAAAAATCTAAAAATAAAATGTGAGAAGCTAAGTCTGATAACATCACGTATTCTTGATTCCAAGGCCTACTAAGCACTTCTATAAGAATTAGCTTGTGTATGTTTTGTATCAATTTTGCATAGACTCTTTTATGTATTTGTTTTCCCCAACAGAATGTTAGCTCTTTGAGGGCAGGATATACTGGAACTTGTTTCAGTTTTATTTCTTTGATTTTTGTCTTTGCCTCTCCAGGGGCCAGCATAATTCCTGTCATGTGGTAAGCTCGTAATAAAGGTCTATTGACTAATTAATCGATAAAAATCAAGAAAATAATCTTACTGGGAAAACAAGCCCAATTTATGTTAAATTTCAAGAAGTGGACAATATGGGTGAGAAGGAGGGAGGGAAGGGGAAGGGAACAAAGATTTATTAAGAGCCTGCTTTGTACCAGGCACTGTGTTAAGTGCTTTGCCATTATTATTTCACTTTATCCTCACAATAAGCCTGGGAGGTAGGTACTATTATTTATTGTTGTTGTTCAGTCATGTCTGACTCTTTGTGACCCCATGGACCCTAGCATGCCAGACCCTTCTATCTCCCTGTCTCCTGTTATTATCCCCATCTTATAGTTGGGGAAATGGAGGCAGACCCAGATTAAGCTACTTGCCCAAGGCCACCTAGTTTGTAAGGGTCTAAGGCCACATATGAATTCAGGTCTTCATAACTCTAGTCTCAGAACTCCATCAACCACACCCCCTAGCCATAGAAAAGTCAGATGAATCAGATGATTTAGACCAAGGGCCTGAGTTATATACCATGTGTATAAATTTGATTGAGTTATGCAACCTCTCTCTAGGCCTCATTTGCCCCATTTGTAAAATGAAAGTACATAGGATCGTTTATATAGAGCTGGAAAGGACCTTAGAAGTCATATAGTTCAAACCCTTCATTTTACAGCAGAGTACAGGTGAGGCCCAGTGAAGTTACACAATGGCAGCAGAACTGAGATTCTCAGGTTGGACGAGATGATTTTTTTTGGGGGGGGAGGTGTTTAGGCAATGGGGTTAAGTGACTTGCCCAGGGTCACACAGCTAGTAAGTGTCAAGTGTCTGTGGCTGGATTCAAATTCAGGTCCTCCTGTCTCCAGGGCTGGTGCTCTATCCACTGCACCACCTAGCTGCCTCCAAATTTATTTATTTTTTGCTTTCTGGTGAGGCAGCCATCACTGTTAAGTAAATTGCCCAGGGTTATACAGCTAGTAAGTATCAAGTGTCTGAGGCTGTATTTGAACTCAGATGCTCCTGACTCCAAAGCTGGAGCTCTATCCACTGCGCCACCTAGCTGCCCCATGGACTAGGTGATTTTTTAAGGGCCTTCCACTTCTAAAGCTATAGGATTCTATGAATGTCATAATTAGGCTGTAGGATATGGTGATGACATATTAGAGAAATAAGGGGGGAAAAAACCAAGCAGCTGGAAGCCTCTGAAAATGGCCCAGAAAGATAAAATAACCCTCCTTTTGTGTAAAGTAGAAATCTAGCAAGCCAAACAAGATCATAAAATGAGAAGGTTCTGAAGGACTATGAAGATCAGAAGAGGGTAACAAATGAATTGCTTTTCCCAGCTGGGGTCTTAGATGGGTTAGGTATTGACGCTGAAGATCTAATTAAGGTGGGATCCATGTCTAAGCCACAATAAGTAAGAAACTCAGAAGACTTGGGGATGTTTCTCATCTTTTACTCTGCCCAATGGAGCTGAACCCAGCACCAGCCCTACAAATTTTAAAAGCAGCTTTGTGCTCACATCAGTTACCCAAGGCCAAAGATTTGGGGCACAGTATGATATTTTTTTCTCCAGGCATCAAAGATGCAAGATAAGGCCAAAATATCAGACATTTTCTGATGAAACAGAAGGCCCTAAAATAGATGTGAAACATAAATATCAAGTATAAAGTAAGAGGGCTTGGTTTCTAAGACTTTGAGTCAAACCAAACATCTGCTAAATGAAAGTCATAAAGCAGATTCCAGCTGACAACAATTTAGGTCTCCTTTTTTTTTTTCCTTTTCAGTTTCCGTCTGAGAGGGCTTTTGATAGAGAGTAGATGGTTTTCCGGTTATTAGACAGATCTTGATTAAGCATTTGGTGAATCCCCTTCCCTAACCTCCATTTCCTGCATATGTACTCTCACTTATTAGAGAGTAAACTCCTTGAGGACAGCTCACTTTTGAATTTTTTTCAACAGCATTTAGCCATATTTTAGTCACTTATTAAGTTTCCTTCCTTCCTCCCTCCCTCCCTCCCTCCCTCCCTCCCTCCCTTCCTTCCTTCCTCCCTCCCTCCCTTCCTTCCTACATATCTTGCAAACATGCTTATTTGTAGATGCAATTATTGAATAAGTATCATTATTCTAGGCAAAGTCAGAACAGCTAAAATTGATTAGCTCCCTTGGCAAAAAGCCCAAACTTCTGTTCTTCCCCACTCTTAATCTTAACTAAAAACATAGCAGAAGAGAATTTGCACTTTTTTTCAGACAGCCTGGTAGATGTGCATATGAATCTCACTTCATGAAAATCTCTCTAACTTGGTAAAAATAAAAAATTAAGAATTTCAAAGTAAACAACCCAGGTGCAAGGTATTATTAACAAACAGAAGGAATTCTGTGTAAAAGAGTAAGGAGCTCCAACCAAGTGAAATATTGGCCTATTTGGATACTATTTTGATTTGAAATATTAACCTATTTCAAGACTATATTGATGTCTCAGTTTTGTTCTAGTTAAGTAATTTTGCACAGAATGTGGATTGGATTCTGTCTAATTGTTTCACTAGGGTGTGCTTTAATACTTAGAAGGATTTCTAATTACATTTGTGGTACTCAATGGTGCAGACTGCAGCCCATCTCATGTGATGCTTATCCATGTCTTCCTGTTAATACTCTGGGAGAGGGATGGGATGGGGGTGGGGTGTCCCACCTAATATCAAGACAAAATGTTGGTCTTATCTTTTGTGTTTGATATTTATAAAAATCACACTGTAACCCATACCTTTGACTTTGGGGAACTGAGCCGAGTACAAATGTAATGGCCTTTATATAGTGCTTTAAGGTTATCTTATTTTATTTTTATCTTTTCTTATTTGATCTTATTATCTCATTTGATACTCCCAATAGCCCTATGAAGTGGGTGTTTTAGTATCCTCATTTTACAGGGGTTTTGACGTGTTCTGAGTCATACAGCTCAGTTCTTCTTAACTTCAAGCACTTAAATCTCTTTGAATTGTTCATCCACCATCTTTTGTTCTCGATATCTGACCATCCCACCTTCTCTTCCAGGCATGCATTTATTTTATGTCATTCTTTATGGCTCTTCTCTTGTGTAATATTTAATTGGTGGCTTGCCACAAGCTACTTCCATGTGCCATATGCCCTTCTCTGTTGCCTTTTCAGGAACCCACACCTTTCATTTTTCAAAGACCATTGTATTGGGTGACTTTCAGTCATACAGAATGCCATAAGAAAACACAGTTAAAAAGTTGGGCCTTTATTTAGGAAAGAAGCATGGGGTCATTAATAGGTTCATAGTTCAATAAAAACTGAATATTTCAGTTCTGTGTTCAATAGATTAGTACAGTTCCTTTTGGTTGGGGGCAGTTTCAGTTCATATCCTTTATAAAAATAATTACCTTTCTCAGGTCACATCCCCAGAACTTTGATCAAAACCGGCAACAATCATATCCCAAATGAAAGTCTTGCCCCAGATGTCAAATTTAGACATCTGATTTGATCCTTTATGGGCCAGATAGACAGACAGCCCATTAAAAAGCTATAAACAAGCAGATGTAATTGACGACCAGACTGGGTCCCTACAATTTCTAATGCTCTCTCAAATAATTGAAACTCCTTGAGAACTGAGGTCTGGACAATTTTTCTGCCCCTTTCCCCAAATCTCTTTATCTTTCCAGTCCTAAAATGCCCAGAATTAAACGTGCTGTTTTTATCCAGTTAAGCCAGAAGAAAAAAAATGGGGATCCTTTTGAGAGTTACAGTTCTCATGGAAAAGACATATAATTTGAATGTTCATATTGTGAGAGAAAGAATAAAATTAAGTGCTTGTAATTCTCTGTCAGAAGCCAGCATAAAGAAATTGTAGCATATGCTGTGGCCATTACCATCAGGACATTTGGAACGTCTGGATCAGTGACATTGAAACAGTAAATTCTGTATGTAAAGCAGATGTAAATTCAACACTTACATAGTCAATAATGAATCTGGATGGCTTTGCCGTCATTAATTAATTAATTCACTCAATGTCCTCTTGAAGGGAGTTAAGGTAGTCAGCATTCTTTTATCATAAGTACTTAATAAGCATGGAAGCTCAGAACTTCTTAAGGAAAGTGAGCTCAATTTGAAATGAAAGGAAATAGATTCAAATATTGACTCCATGCAACCTTGGGCAAATCACTTAACTTCTCTGGGCCTCAGTTTCTTCTTCTGTAAAATGAGGTAGTTGGACTAGGTGATTTGTAAGGTGCTTCCTAGCTCTAAATCTGCAATTCCTATGTCATCTATGGTGATAGGTAAGCCATATTCACACTTAATAAAAATAGAGGCCCAGAAAAATGGAGATCCAGTTATACTATATTAAAAAAAAGGTGAAGGGGCTGTAGAGGAAACAGAATCTAATCCAATATAACAAATTACTAATATAATTACTAATGATAATAATAATTACTAATATTATAACTAATTACACACTGTGCACAAGGACATTGCACTAGATATCAGAGATACAATGATTAAATGAAAACCAGTTCTTGTGCTCAAGGAATTTATATTCTATCGGAGGAATTAAAAAAGTGATTAGATAAGTACATACAAATGAATGAAATGAATGGAAAAATTATTAAATGCTTACTATTTGCAAAACATTGTGCTATTTATTAAACATTTACTATTTGCAAAACACTGAGCTAATTATCCTGTACCTGATACTTAGGAGGAGAAAGCTTGAACAACTTGAGGGAATCAAAAAAGTGGCTCTTGAGCTGAGCCTTAAAAGAACTTAGAGGGGCAGCTAGGTGGCACAGTGGATAGAGCACTGGACCTGGAGTCAGGAGGACCTGAGTTCAAATCCAGTCTCAGAGTAGACACTTAACACTTGCTAGCTGTGTGACCCTGGGCAGGTCACTTAACCCCAATTGCCTTGCCAAAAAAAAAAAAAAGAAAGAAAAGAAAATAACTTAGGGATTCCAAGAGGCAGAGGGGAAAAGGAAGTACATTCCCATTTGAGGGACGGCCTGTGCAAGGCATGAAGGCAGGAAAGGGAATGAGAAGTTCCAGGAAGAGAAAATAGGCCTGTTCTGAAGCACAAAGGGTGTGAAAGGGGAAGAGTGTGAAATAATCCTGGAAAGAGAGGCTGGATCCAGATTGTAAAGGGCTCTAAAAAGCCAAGCAGAAAAGTTTGCATTTTATCCTGGGGTCCTGGAGTTTTAATAGCCTGCTATTGACCTCCTGATATCACTCCTAGGAAGGGCATATGACAGCCAGATCCCCAAGAAGTTAGGAGAGTTCATCCTTGTCTGAGCAAAATCCCTTACATTAATGTTTCAGTTACCACACCTTCTTCCTCAGTACCTCAGCCATCCTCACACACAGCCATTAACACCTCCTGCTTGCCCACACCTACACTCTGCCGTGTTGAGCAAGGTCCAGAACTCAGCTCATTCAAGCCTAGATAAGGCCCTTGCATCCAGGGCAGGGACTAATATAATTGTGGGGCTAAATTAAAATGTATCACATAAGGAGAATACAGTACAGGAGAAAATTAGAGGGGAAGAAACAGAAAATGAAATTCTTTACCTGTCTGGTTTTGGCAGTGAACTGGAGAGAAAGAAATATCATCCAGGGCAATGTATCCTCCCTTGGGACCATTAAAAGCAACTTCAAAAATAACCTGCAAAGGAAAATGACATTCTATCAACTATTTAAATATTCTGTGGGTTGACTTAAGTGCTCTTACTCAAGATTTATGATGGCCTGGTTAAGGCCAAGGGATGATGCAAATTGGTTTCTACTTACTGATTCATGTGCTGTAGGACAAAATATCTGGCAATGTCTTTTATAACCCACGGCTACTTTTAGGGATTATGAGAAATAATCCACCAGGCTTCAATTTCCTAGTGAATTCCCTTTTCTCCTCTTGGGTCTCAGTTATGACATGCAAGTAACTTGCTGTCAGAGTGGCAGAATGAAGTGAAAGGAATAATAGCTCTTGTGCAGAGAGAGATTAGACTGGCCTCTGCTTTCTGCTCTCCACAGGGAACTCCATTTCACTTTAGTGGGTCCTTTCTCTGACTCACATGTGGAATTCTGTAACAAGCTGAGGAGCAGATATCAATGAGAGATGAATAAGAATCAATGAAAGTTCTACCTCAGCAGGCAGGGTGGTACAGTGGAGAGAGATCACTGTGATCTAGGGTTGATATTCCATCTCTGCTACTTTACTACTCATGTGGCCTAGGGCAAGTCTCTTAATCCCCCTGAGCCTCAGTTTCCTTACCTGAAATGAAAGGGTTGGACTGGATGGCCTGTACAATCCCTTCTAGCTCTAGCTCTGTGATCCTGGCAGAGAATGATTATAGGCAGGCCAGGTAGGGCATTATCAGATGTGATCAATGTATCAGGTGGTTTTTTTTTCTTTATTATTCTTTGTTTTTCTTTGCTATCATCCTTTGTTTTTCTTTGCTATTATTCTTTGCTACCTTTGTTTCAGTATCAAAGAGGAAAGGATTTCCTGCTTCTAGAAAAAAACATTTGATGTAAAGACAAAAGGCAACAATGAAATGTATTTTTTAAAAGAATCAATCAATCAATCAATAAGCAATTATTAAGCACCTACAACATGGCAGGCACTGAGCTAGGCACTGGGGATGCAAAGACAAAAATGAAACAGACTCTGTCATCAAAGGAGCTTACAATCTATCAAAAACTTTTTAAAGGGTAAAACAAATCCTCCCCCAATAACAGAGGCAAAATCTTTCATTCCAGTAGCTTGCAACCTGACCAGGCATGGTAAATTGGCTTGAACACCAGCAGATTTTAAGTTCTGTGAGAGGAGGCGCTGGTTTTGTTTCTGTCCTATTTTCAGGGACTTGGTACAGAGTCAATGCTTAATAAATACTTTTAAAATGAATGAACAATCTAAATAATAATAAGTCCCTGTAAAACATCTATTATGATCTCTATTCCTAAACCCAAGGAATCTTATAAATGTGCCTTATGACCACAAAGGCATTAGGTGAGAATCATTCAAGCATCAATACAAATCCTTCACCAAAGCTGGGAAAGTCATTCAATTCAGAGTGTGCCCTATTTTAAGTCAGTCAATAATGTAAAGCAGCATGGCTAGGGGAGAGATCACTAGACAGAAGATATGAATAACTCAGTGCACAATTTTGGGCAAATCACTTTCCCTCTCTGGGTCTCAGTCTGCAAAATAAAGAAGTTTGGACCAGAAAATAATAATAATAATAGCTAGCACTTATATAGCATGCTTAGTTTAGCAAAGTGCTTTACAAATATTATTTTATCCTCAGAATAACTTTGTAAGGTAGATGCTGTTATTATCCCCATTTTATGGATAAGGAAACTGAGTAGACAGAGGTGAAGTGACTTATGCAGGGTCACAACAGGTTATAAGTATCTGAAGCTGGATTTAAATTCAGGCCCTCTTGGCCCAGTGTTCTATCCACTCGCTAGATGGTTTCCAAGGTCCCTGTGTCCCACATAACATTCTATGATCATTTCAGCATACAATGGACAGTACACGGACTTGATTGCCTAGAGATGGTGATGTAATACAAAAAGAGTAAATTCACATCTGGGGTCCAGCACATTGAGGGGAAACCTTGGAGAGAACTGAGAGATGAGACCATGGGAGAAGGGGGAAATTTAAATTTATAAGACAATCAGGGAATCTGTGGCTGAAAAATCCACAAATCACCAAGTTAGATTTTACTTGGCAGCTGAATTTTTTTTTTAAATGTATGTGTGTGTGTACACATACTCATTTCTATTTTCCTAGAGTATTCAGGCATGATGGACTCAATGTTGCCAATCTTATTTAGAGAGAAGGAGAAAAAATTCTTGAGGTTTTTTTTTATTATTTGGGAGAAATCCACATAAATAAATGTCCCTGATTTTTGTAGTATATGGGGCTTTTCCTAGGATATTTTTAAGTATGAATAATAATAGAGAAAAGATGCAAACTCTTTCCCTCATAATCAGACACATGCAAGACACATTGGGCTATATTCAAACAGACTAAAGTCTAGAATTGAAATTTTTCAGCATTGATGCTGGCATTGAAAAATGTTTTTAAGAGCTCCATTAAAAACACATTTTAACCCAGGAGTTTAAGTGAGGATGATGGGAGTTTGCAGAATAGGCCCATATCATTAAGACTATGAGTCATTTGACTTTTGTAGAAGGCACATAATTTTCTTCCCTCTTTAGGCTCTGAGCTCATAGGAACTTTTCCATTGGGCTACAAGTTTCGTGTGACAAATGGCTAGGAAATAACACATCCTCTGAAGCAGACACAGTATTACTGGAGGTGGAGTGTTATGGAAGAATTGTATCAGGAACCAAAGAAAACATTTTTTAGGTCTATACAATGGATAAGCAGGTAATCCTGTCCAAAAGTACTTACAGCAAAATATCTCTCTAGCCCTTTACTCACGACAAGGGGAAATGCTGCAGCTAGTAGAAAAGTGAAAATGGAGAGATATGAATGAATAATTATGTGTGTGTGTATATATATATATATATATATATATATATATATATATATATATAACTAGGATATATATGTATATATAGATATAGATATCTAGTATATACTAGTGAATAAACTTTACTATCAATAACAGAAGCATTGCAAACACTGACTAAAGATCTTGGTTATTATGGGATTTCCTAAAACAGAAGCTTCAGAAGGGGGCAATTATTATAATTTCCTTCCTCCTCAATGGCGGCTAGGTAACTCAGTGGATAGAGCATCAGACCTGGAGTCAACAAGACTTGTCTTCCTGAGTTCAAATCTGGCCTCAGACACTTAGTAGCTATGTGACAAGTCACTTAACCCTGTTTGCTTCAGTTTCCTCATCTATAAAATGAGCTGCAGAACAAAATGGCAAACCACTCCAGTAAATGGGGTCAAAAAGAGTTAGACACAACTAAAACTTCTGAACAACAAAAAAAAACCCTCCTCAGTACAACTTGGACATTCATCCACAGGCATCTCTACAGGTAGAGAGGGATGTCACTCCCTGGAAGCAATACACTTCTAAAGCTGGTGCAAAGCCTTCATTAATGATTTGCAAGATAATGACACAGTCAGACCTGTGCTTTAGGAATATAATAGGTTGAATGATTTGGCAGATGTTTGAAGAATGGATTAGAGAGACTTTAGGAATGGAGACCAATTAGGAAGCTATTGCTATAAATAAATGAATGAATGAATGAATAAAGTCTTTCTCCTTGTCTTTCTCCCAAGTGAAATCTTGATAACTGGTGACAATGAACAAAAGAGTAGCTTTCTTCCTTTAAGATGCAGTTCAAGTAGCATCTACAAGAAACCTTAGGTGATCCCCCAACTGCTGGAGCCTTCCTTCCCAAACTACCTTGCATTTAACTACTTTGTATATATTTATATCTGTTCACTTCATTATATATAATATACATGTATGCATGCATGTATGTATGTATTTAGGCATGTATACATACACACATATAAATACATACATAATTGTGCATAGGAATTGTTTGATTCTTTGTACTTGTATCCCCAGAACCTAGCACAATGCTTGGCATATAGGAGGCGCTACCCTATTATCCACTGTACTTATTTCAAGATCACATAAAAGAATCTTTCAATAAATCTGCTTGACATTTTATTCTTTGGTCTGACAAAAGATACATCTTGCTGTAAAGAAATGAATAATAAGTGGAACTATAAAACTGTACTTATTTCCATTTAATTTTGGCAGATTTCACTTGAAAGGCTTTGGGGGGAGGGGAGCATGCTGTAGTCACAGGAAAAACTAATAATACCTCCGTTGGGTATGGAGCACTGAAGTCAACTTCAGCTAGGTTCCATGCTTCACTCAGAGAGCTGTCAACTTTCCATATCTCTTCATAAAGTCCACTGGCATCCCGGGTATAAAGGGTGAAAACATTGTCATTTCCTTGCTGGAGCTGGTAATAAAAAGACAGGCAGCCAGACATGGGAGTTGTTGTCCTTGGGGAGATGAGCTGGGCGACCTCTTGGAAGTGCTTGACGTAAACAGAGTCCACATACATATAGTGGCCTTAAAAAAAAAGGGAAGCATAAGAAGAGTTTTAAAAATACATAGATGAAGCTCCATAAACTAAATAATCTTAGAGGAGCTCTCATGCACTTAATTTAAATAATATGGCCTCATGTGATTTTTTAGTGGAAGAACCTTGGGTTCTCCTGTATATTAAATTAATAGGATATATAAGATAGCCAATATGGTTACAGGAGTATGGCAGAAGCTTGAAAGTTTGCATATATCATACAATACTTATTTGATTTAGCCATTACATATGCTAATCTACCTGCCAATTTTATAGTGAACTTTCTGAGCATTTAATGGCAATGCTCAGAATTTTTTTTTTCTGAGCACTGCTATCAACTGGCACTGCCATTTCATAGAAATTAGTGAAATGCAATTTCAAGAGAATGATTTTTAGTGACTGTTTTCAAATGCTTCTAAATCACAGTTTTAATAATGTCTTCACATCCATTTTGCAGAAGGGCATAGGAAAAGTAAAAGCAACATCTACTATCTTCCTTAAAAAAAAATACAATAATCAACCCCCACTAATATTCTATTTGGATGTTTTAACAAAGCATGGAAGTAGTGTTGGATTCTTGAAGACTATGTCAGTGAAGCCCGAGTTCTGGCAGGTCCTATCAGCATGAAGGGCACATGATGAAGGCACTAAGGTGTTAGGCCTAGAGTCAGAAAGGGAGAGATTCAAATCTACCCTTGGACACTTTTTTAGCTGGTTCACTTAATCATTCCTAACCTCAGTTTCATTATATGTAAAATAATAATAATAGTACCAACTCCACAGGGTTGTGAGAATTGAATGAGATTTTCATATATATATATATATATATATATACATACATACATACACATATACACATATACACATGTATATACATACACACATGCACGTACACAATACAATGCACATGTACACACATTATACCTACACATGTGTATGTATGTGTCTGCATGTGCATATATGTATGTGTGTATAACTACCTATACATACGTATACAAACACACACACACGCACACACACACATTTATGTAGATACAGTGCTTTGCAAACCTTAGAGTCTAAATCAGTTAGTTGTTATTACTTGACTTATTTGGGCTAAGATCAAATGTGGTATGGTTCCAGAAATGGGCTGCATGTTTCTTGTCCAGTCTAGCTAAGTTAGAAGAGGACTGGTTGCTAGGCAATGGCTCTTTTTGTTTTTCTGTTTAGCAATTCAAGAAGAATACCTACTAAGGGCATAGTGGGATTGTGATTTGTATTGGTGAAGGGAGTACCTACAAAGATGAAATCACAGATCCTTGATATACAGTGGTAATAACCAGACTATTGGTAAATCTAACTAAGAGGAACTGTATCTTTTAACTTTGTTTCCCTGAAATGTATGATGTTTCTAAGCCATATTCCTTCTAGGGTATCAGGAGAACATTGTAAACATTCTGAGGGCAGACAATTCACCTTTTTTCCTTTGCCATTTGTCTTGCCAACTATACAGATTCCATTTCCAAGAAACTCTATTGGGAAAGTGAGGACTGGGTGGAAGGAAGTATGGGGAGGGAGGAAGGGGCTTAATAATTTTTTCCCCTCTGGTGTTGCTAACATTCTTGGAGTAGGGGAATGACGATCTAGGAATTGGAAATATCTTGAAGATTCCAGGAGAGTTAAAGCAAATTTGGTAGTATTGGTAAAACATCTTTGTAATTCCACATGTAGCCCAATACAATGTTGCACATATACTGTGTACCCAATAAATGGTAACTGATTGACAGAGATTTAACTATGTCACTACAGAAATCTGTACTCTGATTGCCTGAGAATGTATTTTCAGGGGTCTGCATCATTATACTAATATTCTCTTTCATATTGTGACTCTTGGAAAAATGGTCTGGTCTGACTGGGCTACACCAGCATGGAAGGCAACGCAAAGAGCTTCAATATCTACTCCTTCCATAGAATAAGTATAAGTGGAGTCCTTGACATTCATCTCCAGTGCAAGACTCTTAGCTGTATCCCTCCAACTCTTTACTCATTGCTAACACCCTGTTTTAAAATTGGTATTTTTTGTTTTGGGGCACCTGAGTGGTGCAGTGGATAGAACACAAAGCCTGGAGTCAGGAAGACTCATCTTCCTGAGTTCAAATCTGGCCTCAGATACTGACTAGCTCTGTGATCATGGGCAAATTACTTAACCCTGTTTGTCTCAGTTTTCTCATCTGCAAAATGAGCTAGAGAAGGAAATGGCAAACTACTTCACTATCATTGCCAAGAAAACCCCAAATGGAGTCAGAAAGAGTCAGATATAACTGAAAAACAACTAAACAAAATCTTTTGTTTTTATATCATTTTTATATCATATAAATTTCCAAATTTATCTTTCCCTCCACCTCTCCCCAAAAGGTCATCTTCTATAACAAAGAATTAAAAAAGGGGGAAAAAGCAGTTCACCGAAACTAAAAAATATATCAACTTATTTTGACAGTATGTACAATTTCTCTCACTCACAACCCCACTCTTCTGAAAAAAATAAAAAAGAAGTGAGGCACATTTTGTCATCCTTTCTTTGGGACTAATTTTAGAGCATTCAAGGTTTTAAAGTTGTTGGTCTTTCCATTTTCACTGTTGTAGTTACTGCATATATTATTTTCTTGGTTTTACTTTCTTCACTCAGAATCAGTTCATATAAGTCTTCTTTAATTCTTTGTATTTTTTATGTTTATCCTTTTTTTTTTAGCAAAGTAATATTCCATTTCATCCATGTACTACAATTTCCTTAAGCATTAACTACTTGGGGTATCTCTACTTTGTTTCTAAAGTGGTAACTACTTCCTAACTGGCCAGCTTGCCGCCATTTATCCCCTTTAGCTGCTTTTATACGTCACTGGGTTTTTTTTTTTAGTGAGGCAATTGGGGTTAAGTGACTTGCCCAGGGTCACACAGCTAGGAAGTATTATGTGTCTGAGGCTGGATTTGAACTCAGGTCCTCCTGACTCCAGGGCCGGTGCTCTATCCACTGTGCCATCTAGCTGCCCCTATACATCACTGGTTTTTAAAATTAATTTATTTTTAGTTTTCAACATTCACTTCCACACGATTTTGAGTTCCAAATTTTCTCCCCATCTTGCCCCTCCCCCACCCCAAGATGGCATACATTCTGAATACCTTTTCCCCTAATCTGCCTTCCCTTCTATCACCCCTCTCCTCTTCTCTTATCCCCTTCCCCTTCTATTTTCCTGTAGGACAGGATAGATTTCTATACCTCATTCACTATATATCTTATTTCCCAGATGCATGTAAAAACAAATTTTAACATTTGTTTTTAAAACTTTGGGTTCCAGATTTTCTCCCTTCCTCCCTCCCCACCCACCCTCATTGAAAAGGCAAGAACTTGATACAGGTTATACGTGAGTAGTTATGTAAAAACACTTCCACAGTAGTCATGTTGTAAAAAACTAACTCTACTTCCCTTCATCCTATCCCACCCCTCATTTATTCTATTCTCTCTTTTGATCCTGTCCCTTCTCAGAAGTGTTTGCTTCTGATTACCCCTTCCCCGAATCTGCTCTCCCTTCTATCATTCCCCACCCCTTATCCCCTTTCCCCCTACTTTCCTGTAGGGTAAGATAGATTTCCATATACAATTAAGTGTGTATGTTACTCCCTCCTTAAGCCAAATGTGATGAGAATAAGATTCACTCATTCCCTCTCACCTTCCCCCCACTTCTCCTCCACTATAAAAGCTTTTTCATGTCTGTTATATGTGAGATAATTTACCCCATTTTACCTCTCCCTTTCTCCTTCTCCCAGTATAATCCTCTTTCACCTCTTAATCTTATTTTTTAGATATCAACCCTTCTTCTTTAACTCACCCTGTGCCATCTCTCTCTCTCTCTCTCTCTCTCTCTCTCTCTCTCTCTCTCTCTCTCTCTCTCTCTCTCTCTATTTTTTCCCCCTCCAACTACCCTAATACTGACAAAGGCCTCATGAGTTACAAATATCATCTTTTCATGTAGGAATGTAAACAGTTCAACTTTAATAAGTCCTTTATGATTTTTCTTTCCTGTTTACCTTTTCATGCTTCTCTTGAGTCCTGTATTTGAAAATCAAATTTTCTATTCAGCTCTGGTCTTTTCATCAAGAATGCTTGAAAGTCCTCTATTTCACTGAATGTCCATTTTTTTCCCCCTGAACAATTATACTCAGTTTTGCTGGGTAGGTGATTCTTGGTTGTAATCCTATCTCCTTTGAACTCTGGAATATCATATTCCAAGCCCTCCATTCCCTTAATATAGAAACTGCTAAATTTTGTGTTAAACTGATTGTGTTTCCACAATACTTGAATTGTTTCTTTTTGGCTGCTTGCAATATCTTCTCCTTGACCTGGGGACTCTGGAGTTTGGCTACAATATTCCTAGGAGTTTTCCTTCAGGGATCTCTTTCAGGTGGTGATCAGTGGATTCTTTCAATTTCTATTTTACCCTCTGGTTCTAGAATATCAGGGTAGTTTTCCTTGATAATTTCTTGAAAGCTGATGTCTAGGCTGTTTTTTTGATTATGGCTTTCAGGTAGTCCAATAATTTTAAAATTATCTCTCCAGGTCAATTGTTTTTTCCAATGAGATATTTCACATTGTCTTCTATTTTTTCATTCTTTTGGTTTTGTTTTACAATTTCTTGAATTCTCATAAAATCATCAGCTTCCATTTGCTCTATTCTACTTTTTAAGGAAGTATTTTCTTCAGTGAGCTTTTGGTCTTCCTTTTCCATTTGGCCAATTCTTCTTTTTAAGGCATTCTTTTCCTCATTGGCTTTTAGGAACTCTTTTGCCATTTGGGTTAGTCTATTATTATTATTATTATTATTATTATTATTTATTAGTGAGTCAATTGGGGTTAAATGACTTGCCAAGGATCACATAACTAGTAAGTTTCATGTGTCTGAGGCCAGATTGGAACTCAGGTCCTCCTGACTCTAAGGCCAGAGCTTATCCACTGCAC